CATAAATTTTAACACACACACACACACACACACACCCTCCGTCTCACCACCTTGGACACCAGACTTCCAAATAACCCACCATTTAACCACGATGACTTCGCCACCGCATGAGACGGGACCCTTCCTGGCTTCCCCCACACCCCCCGGGTCTCGGGTGTGGAATTTAACGGCATCGCTCGCAGCCAAGCTGAACCAAGCCGAGCGTGTGTGTGTGTGTGTGTGTGTTGCCCACCCCCCCCCCGGCCAAAGTCTGTTTCGGTGTCCTCAAATCCTCTTATTCCTCGGCCAATAAATTTGCTGCTCTTTTCCCTTGCCAGAATTTCCATGTAGGAAATGCCAGCAAGGCTGAAGGATTACGTAGAAATCGACACAGACCGGATCGGTGGCCAGTTTAGAAGGTTAAAAATAATAATAATAATAATAATCTTGGGAATTTTTCTGCCTCGGCTGGAGCGGAGTTGCAGATATTAAGGTGGTGTGTACGAGGACGTCGCAGAGCAGGGAGGGGGGGGGAAAAAGCACTCTGTAGGTGCTCAGAGAGGAGGGGGGGAGAAAAGCACTCTGCGCATGCTTGGAGCAGGGGTCGCCGCCTTCAACTTCTTTTGAGGGGTGCCAGGGCATTCAGTCTGGAGCAGAGGGATAGAGGGCTGAAGAGCGATGGGTTTATTAAACCGATTCAAGGGTCAGGAAAAATGCTGAGTTTAGGAAATTCCTTATTCGGCCGAAGGTCACAAAAAGAGGGAAGAAACTTGTGAGACTTTTCAACTTGCCGACTCAGGAGTTTTCCCAGGAATTTGACGTCAGGACTTTCTCCTGGCAGTTAAAAAAAGAAAAAAAGTAGATTTTTGCACACGCCGTTAAACAACCACCATTTCCAATAAAACACAGCTAGTCCTCGACTTACAACCATTCTTTTAATGACCGTTCAGAGTTACAACGGCGCCGAATGAAAGCTTACGGCCGTTTTCCACGCCAGCGGCATCACGGGATCAAAAAACAAGAAACTCGTATTTATGACGTCCGCAGTGAGTCGCGGGATCCCCCTTTTGCGGCCTCCCAACAAGCAACGGGGAAAAGCCAGATCCACTTAACGACCGTATCACCAATTCAACGACCGCGGGGCTTGGCTTGAGAACTGCGGCAGGGAAGGTCGTAAGATGGGAGCCGATGGCTTGCCAGTAGGTCGGGCAAAGGGGATCACGTGACTTCCGGGACACTGCGAACCATCCTAAATAGGAGTGACCATGGGGTTGGTGCGGCGGTCGTAAGGGCGAAAAGCAGTCGTAAATCACTTTTTTCAGTGCCGTTGATATTTCGGTCGCTAAACAAGCTGTGGATTTTGATCACGTGAATGTGGGGGACGGTGCAAGTGTGAAAAACGTCCCGAGTCGTTTTTTTCCCCCGTGCCGTCGTAACTTCGGTCACTAAACGGACTGTCGTAAGGCGAGGACTCCCTGGATTAGGGATCCAAGGTTGGAAAGCGATTCGTGCATGACCTCAGACATATGAACAAAACCGACTCTATTGCTCGGTGTCTCGTTTTCTCCCCGTGAACCTTCTGTTTTGCGGTCCAGAGACAGCGAGGGTCCCTCGTTCAACGACCAGATTTGGGGAGGGGGTGAATTGTATGAATCCCCCCACTCAGCAGCAGCTTGACAGCACAATCCTTCTTCCCTTTCCCCCCAGGAAAGTTCTGATCCAAAGATCCCCGGCATCCGTTTTTGTCAGTCGGAATTTACGAGAAGCTCTTCAGAGCCCAGATTTTCTGACCGTCTCACCGCGATACTTCCGGTCCTCCTCCCTCTTTCATGGCTCTCCCATCTTCCCCCCTTCGAGGCTTCTTTAATTAACGGGCCAAGATCAGGAACTCCAACCTGCCGTGTCCTTCCCATCCCACCACCAGTAACCCACCGAGGCAGATGGGTGAGAACAGAGCCTCTGAGAACGTGCAGAGTGCAATGTTCTAAAGGCCGTTCTCTTCAGGGCTGACAAAACCGCCTTCCCAAAGAGTGACCAGCACTGTAACTTGGGGCCAGCGAATGATGGGAAAACTGAAAACTGCTGGAATGCTGAGAGTCCTCGACTTACGACCATTCCCTAAGCAAGACGGTTGTAAAGTGAGCCCACGTGACTCACCAACTTCCCTGCTAAGCAAATAACTGTACTTCTTAAGTTACTAAGATGGTCGTTAAGTGAATCCGGCTTCTCCCCAGTGACTTTGCTCCTCAGGTCACAAAAAAGGATGAGGTGACCCCAGGTTGCCGTGACCGTCATAAATATGAGTCGGTTGCCAAGCGTCCAAACTGACCAGCAGGATGCTACAAAAATCGTACGAGTGAAAAAAGGTCATGTCACTTTTTTCAATGTCGGTCACTAAACGAATGGTCGTAAGTCGAGGACTGCCAGCACTTAGAAGTAGTCGGATCCCCTCGGTTGCTAAATGTAAGTATTTTCCCATCCGGTGTTGGAGCATAGCTGGGTGGCACCCCCCAAAAACCTTCCTGGATGTGTGACGCACAACACTACTTGGGCTGATTCGAAGATTCGAATCCAGAACTCGACTTTTCCCAGGATCCCAGTCGGAGGTTTGGTTGTTCTTTGAACGGGGAGTCCTCGAGTTACAACAGTTCGCTTGGGGATCGTTCAAAGATACAGCGGCCCTGAAATAAGCGACTTACAACCGTTACTCACACTTATGACATTACGTCACAGGGTCGAAATTCAGACACTTGGCAACTGATTCACATTTACGATGGTCAAAAACGGATTCACTTAACAACCGGGTTACCCATTTAACAACTCCAGCGATGCACTTAAGGAAAAGGGCCGAGAAAAGTGGGGCAAAACTCGCTTAAGAACGTAAGCTTGGAGGAGGGAGTCTACTGTGGTCGTAAAGTCGAGGACTACCCATTGTCTCTTGTTTCTTGACTTATAAAACATCTCTTGAATCGCAACCACGTGTAAAATAACCACTCCGGCAAACCGATGTCCCACTGATTTCGCTTCTCGTTTTATTCCAATCGTTTTTTGTTTTTTTACAAAAAGGTTAAATTAACGGAAATACTTGCAAATGTTTTTTTTTCCAGAGGTGATGATTCCAAGTTCGGCCCCTTTAAGGCTTGTGGACTTCAACTCCCAGAATCCCGTAGCCATCGGAGAATTCTGGGAGTTGAAGTCCACCAGCCTTAAAGGGGCCACGTTTGGAGATCCCTGGTTTAAGGCACTGGCAGGTAAATCTGTCGTTAGCACGTGGCTTTGTCTCACCGCGACGAATAACTCCTCGTTCTTGCATTGACACCCTCGAACACACAAACATGCCTTCTGGGACACGAGAGTCGTCCATCTCTGCTCTGGAGTCACATCCCTAGTTTGGACTCCTGCGGCTGTTCAGCTCTTCCCAGGGGTCTGCTCGGCCGGCGGCCCCCCTGGGCCCTTTTCGGGAGAGACGTCTGCGGGAGCCACCGAGCTCAAGCGGCTGTCGTCCCCGGCTTCCCTGCCAAGCCGGGACTCGTGCCAATCAGGCCGGGTCAGGCAGGTGGAGAAAGTGGGCACCGTCATCAGGACGAGGCTCCCGGCCAAGAGGAAGGAGCCGGCGGCGAGGAAGGAGGCCGCGTAGTCGCCAGTGAAGTCGCGCAGCCAGCCTGCAAGAAAACAGCCGAATGTGAAGCCGTGCGGGAAGGTATCTCGGGGTGAACGGCGGCGGCTAGTTCAATGACCCGTAGCCGCATGGGCCAATCATCCTGTACATCACCCTCTCTGGAATACTGCACACCTGGAATACAGCCAGGGTGGATAACAATCTTTTTTTTTTTAATGATTTTTTTAAAAAAATCAGATTTTTAAATCGGATCTTATTTAATTTAAATCGGATTTTTTTAAAAAAATCCATTTTATTTTAATAAAATCGGGTGTAAAACGAATCTCTCTCAAGGCAAGTTTTCTATTTGCGACGCCTTCAGAATTGAAGTTGATTCCGCGTGGAATGGAGTTTAGTGATGTAGGACGAGGAGGCAGTATTGAGGTGGCGCAGTGGTTAGGGTGAAGTACTGCAGGCCACTTTAGCTGACTATGATCTGCAGCTCAGCGGTTCAAATCTCACCGGCTCAAGGTCGACTCAGCCTTCCATCCTTCCGAGGTGGGTGAAATGAGGACCCGGACTGTGGGGGCAAATTGCTGACTCAAATTTGCTTAAAAAATCGTAAACCGCTTAGAGAGGGCTGAAAGCCCTATGAAGCGGTATATAAGTCTCATTAATAAATAAAATAAAATAAATAAATATTGGGGTTGTCAGAGGAGGGGGGAGAAGCTGCGGGACAGAGATGGCAGTGGCTCTTTAAAAATTAGCGTGGCACGACAAAACCGCGCTCGACTAAGCCGCGCCCGATTAAACCGCGTTGCTGACATCATCAACAGGGCGACAACAGC